GGCAACAATACGGTTTCTTTGAAGCAATAGATTTCTCTATTTTTGTTTTTCATAGTACATTTAAATGAAACTATAATTATTGATTGATTGTTTAACACAAAGTTATCTTATTTTACATCTTATTTACAAACAATGTCATATGAAATTGGATACATGTAGTTTTCCGGCAGGTTTTATATTACATTTCCAAGAGCAGTTTGTTTGTAACATCTAATGTTTGTGTTACAATCAAGCCGTTTGATTTAAGGGTGTCTTTGAAGACGTCTGTCGGCAGCTGTGTTCATAGTCTTAACGATGGCCATACATCAAGACTCGGTTTATTTACCTTAGGTTAGGTAGCGTTATATTTTTTTCACGAAGCTCGCGTGTTTCGTTGCGCTTGAGTTTGACACAGTGCCAAAAGTTACACATACACACAAGTACTATTTCTACTTGTATTCTAAAACGTCGCATCGACACTTCCACTATTCTAATCGCATGCCATTCTGATGTCTCATTTCCGACTTCTCCGTGACAGACGAAAAATAAAAACGCCAAAGAACTGAAATAAACTTATATTACTAAATAAATAGACAATAATATGTTATGATAAGAGACATACTAGATAGATATACTATAAGTGATGCTTATAAAATTAAAATCGATAGGTAATACGGTTTAAAATAATCAAGCACAATAATGACAGGAGCCTATTAGTTTGTTATTTTTTTCTTCAGAAAGATTGATTCACAATTCGCTAAGATATAGGTAGACGAACGTAGGTATATAAAAATATAGGTATGTCTTACAAAGCCTTTGAATATAGAAAATCCTCGCTTTTGATGTTGGAATCATAGGAATGCAAAAGACCCTTCTTTTGTTTTCTTCCATGACATAACTAGGTCATAGAATATAATGAAACTCTTTCAGTTATCAATACATAGCATGAAACAAAGTCTAGTCTCTTTTCGTCCGTCTGTCCCTATGTAGGCGTGGATATTTAAAACTATGCAACGGTTTTTTGATGATTTTGATTCAAAAGGAAGGTTTTTATATATCTATAGTATAGGACCACGCGGGCGAAGCCGCTAGCGGAAAGCTAGTTGTTTTATAAAAACAAAACTTATTTTATTTCGATAAAATTGTAAATGCTCGAATTGGCGGGAGCACTTCCGTGTCCCCAGATAAAAAACCTATTCTATAAAAATACAATTTGTATGAACATTACATCTGAATCAATAAAATGCTCGATTTTAATCATGTCAATAAATAAAAAATAATTATCAGTTTTCCTAAAAACTAAATTAACAAAATTGAAGACATTTTCATATCTTTGTATCGGAAAGTCTTTTCATATATAGTATACATACATAAACTTGTAATAAAATATTTTTGGTTTCGGCATCATTAAAAGTTAAAACTTTTAAGAAGATGACTCCGAATTCATAATTGGAAAATGTGTAATTTTCATTTGTTTTAATTACTGTCAAAATGAGTGAATCTAATAAAGAATTTCGATACATTTTAATATGTTACAAAAAAGGTAAAAATGCAAAGCATTCCGCGAAAAAAAACTGTGACGTTTATGGACCTAGTGCAGTTTTTGTGGGAGCAGCCCAAATTTTCGTCGCTCCAATCGCCCTGTTAATGGATGACATTTTTGAAGAAGTGCAAGATCGGCATATCAGAAGTTACGAAGTAGCCGAAGAACTGGATATTGACCACAAAAGAGTTTTGGTGCTTTTGAAAAATGCTGGGTACACAAAAAGTTGGATATTTGGGTACCTCACTGAAAGAAACCTAATGAACCGTGTATATGTTTCTTTATTATGGCGTAATTAAATCGAACCATTTTTTTAAAAGCTGATAACTGGATGAAAATTTGATACACGTTCGTACGTGTTCGTACTTGTCGTCAAGAACGTACGAAAAAGGTCATGGTCAAGGTTTGGTCAGGCTTCACAGACTGTGGCGAAACCTGGGTTAACTCGCAACAGGGTGATGCTGTGTGTATGGTGGGATTGAAAGGGCATTATTCGTTATAAGCTGGTACCACCAGGAAGGACCATCGATTCTAAACTCTACTACGAACAACTGACGAGATTAAAGCAAGAAGTTGAAAGAAAGCAGCTGGAAAGCACCTCGCATGTCTTTTGGCACTCAGCAAAAATTAAGAGAGTTTGGCTGGGAGATGTTAGTGCATCCGCCGAATAGTTCTGACCTTGCACCTTCAGATTTTCAACTGCTTCGGTCTCTTCAGAATTCTTTAGGCAGTGTCAGATTAACATCACGCGAAGATAGCCAAAAAAACTTGTCGCGATTTTTGATCAGAAGCCACAAATATTCTATAGAAATGGGATCATGTACCTACCTGCTACCTACATATTTAAGTTAAATGTAAAGAAACTTTTAAGAAATGTTTTGAATTTTCATATAATATGTGAATAAACTTTCCCCTTACTATTATACTAATCGTAAAATCGAATAAAAAAAATCTATTTAGAGTCATCTTTGCGATTTTTTTATTGAGCTAATTATTGAAATTTTGTTTCTGTTTTAACAAGCAATCGATCATGTCTTTAATTTTGATAAATTAATTTTTATTTAACAAATATTAGCAAATTCTTAGTATAAAATTGGTTGAAAATGTGGTATTTCGTACAACCTCGCCTTAATACACACCCAAGCAATGCCTGAGTGGCTGCTAACAATTTGAACCCAAATAAACGACAAGTTTTATCGCATAAAATAAATTTTTAATTTCCAAATATTCGAAATACGAAAAGTTTATTTTAGGCGTAACAGCCACTTGGAATCATTCAAAAGATAGAACTCGTTCACATGTATGTTTTTAGCGGCGAACTTATATTTTTACATTAAAAAATATGTCATTAATAAAATCAGATATATATTATGGCTTGGCTGTGATTTATTAACCAATATACTTTAGGGGTTTTTGGCAACGCGCCCCTCTTTCTCACTAATATCATTTATTATAAAATAAAAGTATTGAATCAAAGTCAAAATAATCTTAATTCAAATATATTAGATTTCTTAAAAGTACTTTTGAATCTTCTAATATTTCCCTACCATAGAACGAGAAAGAAACTCACCAACTCTGACAGGAGTAACGACATTCACATAACCATGTAATTATCAGATCGTGTACTATTCCGGAAATGAGAGATTCGATTAGTATCATAAATTAATTAAGTATGTGAATCAGTTAGTCACTTCTAAACTGTGAAATTTCGATAACATAGTTGCATTAGATCGCAAATATAGGTTTCCTGTGAGTGTCGTTACAAAAAGTGACTGCGTTTTACATGCATCTTGTTGATTAGGCACCGTAACGGAAAAGACAAATCTAGGTCGGTATCAATTAATCTTTTACATATTTATTGAAATGATAATTCTACACTTGTATTATTCAATAAAGTCCTCTTAGTCTAATCAAATAATCTTGCCTATCATTTATTATGCTGATGTGTGTTATGCTGACATCACGCAGGAATTTCCAATCAAACTAGATCGGTTATTTGCCTTTAGGAAAGCATTGAAAAGATTAACAATTCGCCAGCGTAGGTATCTGAGGATCGTCTCCACTCCTTATTCTATAATTAAAGATCCGTGTGCACCCAGATATTGATATATACGCGATACATATTGATGAAAAATACGCTTTGTAGTAGCGAACAAGTAATAAGTACTTAAAATTTTAATCAGTCCTGTAAGGTCCTGGGTTGTAAGTGATTAGAGCAGTCGCCTGGATTACGAAAGGTCGTGGGTTGAAATCTCATCTCAGAGTACCAGGGACAAAGGGGATTTTTCTTCTCACCGGACAGGTTTCATCTTCTATTCATTTTCGGTTCAATATATACGACTCTGGAATGTACTGCCTTCCCACATATAAGCTGGCGTGGGTAGGCAACTTATACTACCTATATAAACTTGCCTTCAAACGTGTAGACGTTTCATCGACTGAATTCTTTTGTTATATGTGATTGAAGCAGGTGCTTCAGTATCTAGGTAGATACTGAAATTCACATTATTATATTTGGTCATTTGCATGCACAATGCTATACGTGAAAATATTCTTAATGAAAAATGCTTTATTTATTTATATGTATGTATATATTTATTTATTTATATATATGTATTTATATATGGTATGTATGTTATGTTCCGTTCCGAAGATTCCATGGGATCTTGATCTTGATAACATTTAGTAGCTGCCTCTCTTACTAATATGCTTCTCGACGTCCTCAGTGAAGTGGTTTCACTTCCATAATTCATAATACCTATGTATATTAATTTATACATTAAAACACACAATATGAATATAAAATGACATCACACCCTTTTACAATCAAATATTACACAGCAAAATACCTATAGTTGTAGGTACGTTGTAGACAATAGATTAAGCGGCGGTTATATTCAGCCCGCCTCGTCCCATCCTCTTATCCCATCTAGGGTCGGTCTTATATTTAGAACTACGTCACTATTTTCCCGCGAATTTGCCCACGTAAATTATATAGCCTATGTCACCCGTGTACGATGTAGCTTCCCGTACATGAAAGAATTTTTAAAATCAATTTAGTAGATTCGGAGCCTATTCAATGCAGAAAACGAAAATGTTACTCTTTTTATTATTAGTATAGATGGAACTGATTACATTAGTACCGTCTCGCGTGTCGTAAATGTATAGAAACACGAAACCACCTTCTTCTTTTCAACTTTAATGGGCCCGCGGCGTTGCGTGACATAACGTGGCGCGGGCTGAGTGTAACTGACGCTTTACTTGTCAGTGTTTATCTATGCTTTATTGATCAGACGAGGACGTTCCGATAACACAATGGCAAGATTGATAAAATTTGCAAATTGATACAACGAACAATATTTTATTTTATTGTTCATTGATATAATCGGACGAGAAAATAGTGCTGATATCACTTTAGTGTTCAGTGGGTAGTAAAATATTATTTATGTCAGATAATAGTGGGTGTTTTGTTTTACAGCAGGAAGATGAGAAGAAGAGTAAGAAAAAACAATCACCGGTGGATGAGAGGCCCACGGTGCCGGCGCCCAGTGAGGCAATGCTCAACAGTAAGCGAATTGAATAATGATATTATAATACTTTATATAAGTCATATATAAAATACTAATATAACACTACATAGAATATCGATTCACGATTATTGCTCGCAGAAATAATAGTACTTCTCACTTTGTTTAATCTTTGATTGAATTAAGTGAAAATAAACATAGTTCAACAAGTCACCCTGTTTATTTTAATTTAATTAGAGGCAAAGGGAATCAATTGGGTACAGTCTACTTTAATATATATTTAACGTTCCATTGCTTCTTTTGAGTTTTTGGAGCCAATCCAAAGATGCAAGTAAACAAAGAAGTCCACAAGGAAAAAGTGACTATTCGCTATTTCGAGCTAAATTTACGGAGCAGTTTCCTTGTTTACGACTCATACACCATACTAATCCACTGGACTATAAACGTTCCATTAATTTATACTTTGTTTCGCAAAATAACATTAATTTAGCAAATACTCGCAATTACTTCTATTTTTTTTTTAACTTAATGTCAAAAATTCCGTCTCTATATTTGTTGGGAATCGAAGCTTACGAATTTCCGCCATAAAATCCCCTTGCCTGTGCAATCTATGGAATTTTCTCCAATGAATCGATTTTCTAATTTTTACGGGCATGTTGTTTTATAGCTGGTCCTTATTAATGTTTATTTTAAACACTCCTAATTAATAAGAAACAGCGTCTTATCGAATATGTGTAGCTGAAAGTACGATAACGAACAAACAAAATAAACATTAGATAACATCACATACTTATATTACTGAATTCTAAGTAGTTAAAGTGCTTGTTCCTTTATAAAATCCGGAACAATTAATTGTTAAAGAAATACTATTTGACATTAATATATTTATATGAATATCCCAAGTAAAGTGATTATGTATGACCTGTTTTAAAAAAATTTCGTTTCAGTCTTTTGAAATTATGATTACATGAAGTTACACCATATGACCATATAATTTATGTGTGCCAAATCTTGGGACACAGCTAATCCATAAGTAAAAATGAAAGGGAAAAAAAACTTAAAAAGAGCTTTTATTTAAACGCTCTAAAAAGAAGGAAATAAAATTTTCCTTTTAAATTTTAACTACCAATTTATAACCTTATTATACACAATTTATATAACTATATGAGCTTGTCACTTAATTTACTTGTGTAAATAACTAGTACCAATTTAATTATGTAAAATCTATTAAATTTAAATTATTAAAATTTCAATTTAATATAATATCGATAGGTACTTAAAGCTCGCGACAAGCTTTTATGAATGGCTGGTTAGGTTCCTCAGTTTATTCAATAATGCTTCAATAATGCGCTATATCGAATTAAGAATAATGTCGCATTCTTTTTCAAGTTACTGTCAACATGACTTTTCATTTGAAACCCATTTTGTACAAGTGGATTAAATATACGAGCTATTCCGCCATCCTGTACGGTCCGCTGTAGTGGATTTAGAATGACGTCACATTATTTTTATAGTTACTCTCAACGAGCCCTTTCATTTGATACCCATTTTGAAGAAGTTCATTAAAAATAACTATTCCGCCATCTTGGATGGTCCGCCATATTGGAATTACAATGACGTCACATACCCTATAATGTATTGTCATCCAAACTAAGCGTGTATTCAAATTTTCAGTTCAATCGCTTGAAGATATCTACTTCAAAATTGGATTCAAAGATTCTATCGTAACAAACATAAAATAGTTAAAAAGCTTTTAAAGATACACATAAATAAAAACTCTACTTATTATTAAATTGTTTCATAATAACGAAAATATTTTGCTTTTAAATATGGTTAAAGAAATAAAAATTTTTAACGCAATATCTTGAGATTAATCTTGAAAAATCTTGAGTAATTATAATTGAATTCTGTATTGGATTTTTATTTTTCGCATTCGAAGTGAGAAGTAGTTACGACGCTAAAAACGCGGTTTCTTCTTTATTACATTTTAGCCCCTTGTGTATCAATTTACTATTCCAACATGACCTACTGGTAAGGGGTACTGGTAGGGCTTTTGTGATAGCTATTAATATAATTATGTAACCTTTATAGTGGCAATCCCTTCCGTAACGAATAGTGATTTGAATGATCAATGCTTCAGACAATTGCAACTAACGTCAAATTAAAGATATTTTTCAAATATGTTAACGTCTCATTTGCATTAAATGTTAGCGTGAAATTCGTGAATATCTTCTCCGTAGCCGAGTGGTTCGCACGCTGGTTTCAAGGTGTCGCCATCTCTGAGGTCCCGGGTTCGATTCCCGGTCGGGTTAATGTAGAAAATGAACTTTTCTATATTGTCTCGGGTCTGGGTGTTGTGTGATCTTCGTTGTCTCAGGTACTCCATAATACGGGGGCTTTAGCTACTCATCTTGGAATCTGAGCAATGTACATATATGATGTTGTTTAAATCTCAAGCTGAAAGCGTTCGCGATTGATTATATTATGTCCCTGGTAGAGCCAGTAAAATTTTCGATTAATATTCATCACTATAGCGCAGCAATAACCACGAATACAGTTTTACGTGCAAAAGTAGGTGGGCTCTATTGTTTACAGATCGATATTTTGCTATCATTGTCACGCTATTTACAGTACCTATGAATTACCAAAGACAACAAAAAAGCTAGGCCCGATCGTCAACTTTTCAGTCAGGGCAGAAAAGATATTGTGTCTACATCAGTCTTCCCTCCCTCGTGCATACATTTTTATCTTTATGATATTATTATATCATTAACATAAAAAATCCTTCCCCCCTCACCCTCACCCCTTTGTCCGCTACTGAGTATTCCTACAGAAATGTTTCACAAATCATACGAAACTTGAAAAATCTCTATCAGCCCTTTTAAATCCCCACTACAGGGGCTTAGGCCTTCCTTGTGGATAGTTAAGGAGGATGAGTTATGATCCTCCACGCTGGTACAATGCAGATAGAAGAGTATTAACTATTGCAAATTTGCATCCGCGAATAATGGCCTAATGTGCCTTTCGAAGCACAGAGTAGCTTGAGCCAATAATATTTTAATCACCCATCCCGTGACTGACCCTTGCGAAAGTTGCTTAACAACAACGATCGTGGGCCGCGGCGCTTATCAATCATGCCACCGTGCGTAAGTAACTCACTTATACATAGTATAAAATAAAGTCACTTCCTGCTGTTTATGCGCTATTATAAAGTTTATTTATATTTAACTAAAGTATATAGGTACCATTTTGTTCGATAAATTTTCGCTATCTTGTAGGTAGGGACATGATCCCATGCTATAGAAATGTTGGAGCTTCTAATCAAAAAACCGCGACAAGTGGTTTTGGCTGTCCTCGCATGATGTTAACCTGAAACTAGAAGAGCCTAAAGAATTCTGTCCAAGACTATTCGGTGGACTCACTTATACCTCCCAAGCAAACTCTTTTAATTTTTGCTGAGTGGCAAAAGACGTGTGAGGTGCTTTCTAGCTACTTTCTCTCATCGTAGAGTTTAGAATCGATGATCCTGCCTGGCGGTACCAGCTTATAATTAATTATGCCCTTTCAATCCCACCATACACATAGCATCACCTAATTGCGAGTTATCCCGGGTTTCGCTACAGTCTGTAAAATCTGGTTGACCATTGACCACGATCTTTTTAGCACGTTTTTGTCGTACTTGATTTATTATTCATCACCAGTTAACAGCTTTTTCATAAATGGTACGGTTTCATTACGCCATAATTAATAATCACACGGTTCATCAGCTTTCTTCCAGTAACCTAACGAGGTACCCAAATATCCTACTTTTTCTGTACCCAGCTTTTTTCAAATGCGCCATAACTGTGATTTATCTCCAGTTCTTCAACGACATCGTAACTACTGATATGCCTATCTTGCTCCACTTTTCCAAATATGGCATCCATATTATCGTTACAGGGCGACCGAAGCGACGTGCATCTTGGACATCATAATTTCCGAACAGAAAACGCTTAAACCAAATTTGAGCTACTCTCACAGAGACTGCACTAGGTCCATAAACGTCACAATTTTTTTTCGCGGCATGTGTTGCATTTATACCTTTTTGTAATAATTAAAATGTATTGAATTTTGTCATTGTTTCTCTCATTTTAACAGAAAGAAAAACAAATGAAAATCGCATATAGTATGCATAAACTCGTAATGGAATCTTTATGGCTGTTTGTAACTGTCTCGTTTCAGTATCATTAAAAAGTTTAAATTCTAAAGAAGATAACTCTGAATTCAAATTAGCAAAATAGGTGATTTTCATTATGTATGTGCCATTGTAAGATCTCATCACTTCAGCCGAGAGACGCCCACTGCTGGACATAGGTCTCCCCCAAAGATTTCCAAAGCGATCGGTCCTGCGCCTCCCGCATCCAGCGACTTCCCGCGACCTTTACCAGATCGTCGGTCCACCTTGTGGGGGGCCTACCAACACTGCGTCTCCCGGTACGCGGTCGCCACTCCAGGACCTTACCGCCCCAACGGCCATGTGCGAGCGATGTGCCCTGCCCACTGCCACTTGAGGTTCCCAATTCTTTGGGCTATGTCGATGACTTTCGTTCTTCTGCGGATCTCATCGTTTCTGATTCGATCTCGCAAAGAAACCCCGAGCATAGCCCTTTCCATTGCCCTCTGGGCGACTTTGAGCTTCCTTATGAGGCCCATCGTAAGCGGCCACGTCTCAGTACCGTATGTCATCACTGGCAACACGCACGAATTAAAGACTTTCGTTTTGAGACACTGCGGTAGATGTTCCGAGAATACACTGTGTAGCTTCCCGAACGCTGCCCAGCCGAGGTGGATCCGTCGATTTACCTCTCTCTGGAAGTTGGACTTACCTAATCGGACTATTTGTCCCAGGTAAACGTACTCGTCGACAGCTTCCAGTGTAGAGCCTCCAACATTCACTGGAGTGGGTACGACATGGGAGTTTGACATTATTTTTGTCTTCTCCATGTTCATTTTAAGACCCACTTGCTGGGAAACTCTACAGAGGTCTTCGAGCATTGTGC